CCTTATCGAGATATTAAAAATTGAATCAATTATTGAACTAGTTAAAATATTAATTCAAAAATTAATTATTAAAATTAAATTCAAAAGTTAATCATTAAAATTGTAGTTAAATCATGATCAAATCAATCATAAATTAGTTATGAATTAAAAAATATTTGTAATAAGCTCTATGAGTAATAATTATTTTGATTCTAGCTTTGTAGCTATCAAGAATTAGATTTAGAGCCTTTAAATTGGAGAGGAACTCCTACACTATTTTGATCACCAGAAACTTTTGCCATTGAATAACTCCCTTTTGAGGAAGAATAATTTTTCTTGAAAAAGGATTAAGAAAATGTGTGTTGTAATTTATTATATTTTAACAACGTTAACATTTTGTAATTATTAAAGAAAATAGTTTAATAAAATATAAACAGTACACTCCTCCGATCCTTTTTATAAGTCATTTATATTAACCTCATCAATACCAATACAAAAAAAATAAAAAAAAATAAAAGTGCGTATAATTTCAAATATGTCTCTATATAACAAATTTAAAAAGTGATGTGATGTTATTTTTTCTTTTTTATGAAAGATAATTTTAAAAATACTTTTCAAATATTACATAAAAAGCTACACCGTGATTTATAAATGGGACTAAATAAAATTTTTAAAACGTGTCTTATAAATGGGATCAAAAAAAGCATGTGGTAAGTAGATGCAAATATTAGTTAATTGTATCTGTGTGGTCACATTCTTGACAAAGGATTAGACGATTAGTTAACCTTTCAAACAAATGAATTTTTTTTTCTAACAATTGAAAGATTTTTAGAAATGATTTATTTTGGGTTAAATAGCAATTTAACCTTTAAACTATATATTCAAGAGCATCTAGGATTTTAAATTTATTTCTTATTCAATATTTTCATTTAACTTTTAAAAATGATGCAATATTGCCCATCCATTCACAAAAAGTAATTTTAATCATTAACTAGTTGACCAAAAAATGATCGAGAAAATTACAGAAAAAGAATCAAAAATTAAAAAGTACAAACAAGGACCAAAAAGAAAATTTTCTTTATCATTTCATGTAATTTTGAAGTAATTTTTTTATTAACTAACAATTAAAATTAATTTTTATTAATGATAAAAATTACATTGCATTATTTTTAAAAATTTTAAAGGAATATTCAGGGGCAAAGCCATGATTTGAGAGAGGCCAAGATTAAATAAATATATACACACACTACAAAATTTTCATAAATTTTAGCAGACAAGAAGTATATAACATGTATATAATGTTAAAAAAAATTTGGAAGGGGCCAAGGCCGCTGTTGATCCTCTCCTTCCTCAGCCTTTTGGAATATTGCACCAAAAAAAATTATAATATCAAATATTTTTAAACATATTATAATTTAAGGGTCAATTGTGATTTTTATTTATTTATTTATTTAAAGAAGAAGAAGTCCAGGTTACAACTTACAACTTGGCGCACGGTTCAAGCTTTTTGCAAAGTCCTGTGGGGAAGAAAGCGAGTTTGGCAACTATAGCCACGTGGATTCCCACTAATTTTTCATTGTCAAGTTTACCAAGTTCATTCAGAGTACGATGCATGAGCATAGTTTAATACTCTTTCATTTTAATTTATAAAATATATTTTTTATGAAATTATATATATATATATCAATAAAATTTATTAAATATATAGTTCATAATCTTAATTTTTTAAATTTTTTAAAATATTATCAACAAGACGAAAGAAAAAAATTATTTAAAAAGTAAAGCAATAAGAAATAATGTTGAAATAATAATTATCATTAATCAAATCCTACTTTTTAAAATGATGAATTTATTTTCTTGAAATATGAGAATTAGAAGATTATCTTTATTTCATATTCTGTATTTATTAAAATAGATTAAGTGCCCACAAAACGAAATAGATCTAAGTGCCCACGAAACGAAATAGATCAGGTGAAAATTAACCAAGATTATATGTTCTAAATTATAAGATAATTTGATATAAGATTATGCATAACAATAAAATTCAATAATAATACTATATAAACTTAATTTTTTAAAATAAAACTATAAACTTTTAAAAATATACATTCATTCTTAATTATTGTACTGTAATATTATTTGGCTTTTTTCACCACTTGAAGGATAATATTAAAAAAATATTATTAATGTAATCTTATTTTTTCAAACTGTTTTATATTTTTAGATAACAAAACACCTTCAAAATTATCTTATAATTTGAAACAAAGTAACTATTACAAGTCTACAAACTAATACTATGGATTTTGCCCAAATTAAACTACAATTGGTAATTCTTTCTCAATATAATTTTTTTTAATTCTCAAAATTTCAACTTGAATTATTGTTTAAGAGGTATATTGAATCTCTTGTCATATAATATAATTGCTTTTAGTTATTCAACTTATGATTTGCTTACCAGAGAGCCTGTAGGCTATGATTGCGGGTAAGAATGGTTGGACCTTTGAGTCAATAATTTGACTTTGCTCGTATTAGAAGTTTCCAAGTCTCTTTGGATCCCACATCAAAAATGGTTTGATTTTTATGAAACGGGAAGCCGAATGTTACTTTTATTTGAGATTTTGCCAACAAGTGCACAACTTATAGTTGAAGAATTATAATTCAAAAAGTTTGATAATAAAACTTTTGGTGCTCTAAAAGTATCTCAATTGTTAGCATGGTCTTTAAAATTTAATTTTGGCAAAAGTATAAATTTATTCCTCTAATTTCATATGCAATTTAAGTTTAGTATATCAAATTTATAAAGTATTTTTTACTCCTTTAATTCTAACATAATTAGTTTTAAATAATTACTTTTTGTTCCAATCATTTATTATTTTAAAAAATAAAACTTAGTATAGCATTGAGAATATTTTATCAATATTTAAAAGTTCAATGTCCACATTTTATGTCAATAAAACAAACAATGTTACAATTAGAGAGCTGAAAAAATACTTTATAAAATTAAGGAGTTAAAATGAAATGTATTGTAAGGATTAATTGTTTATGGTTATGAAACTTTAGAAACTTAATTGATAAAAATTAAATACCAATTATCAAATTAATAATTGAGGTAAACTTGAAGGATTAAAAATTTCATTATCCCTTATACTTTTTCTTACAAAAAAAAAAGTAATTCACTTTAATACAAGAATAAAATGATAATTTGGTCATTTAAAATACAGGCATAGAGCATCTTGCACTCCAAACCTTTTTTTTTTTGTGCCTTTTCACTCTTAAACATTTAAAATTATGGCAATCTCTCCCTACAATTAATTTTGAGCATTAGTTGATTAAAAAATTAAAAATATATAAAAAATTGCAAAAAGAATATAAAAAATTACAGAAAATGTCTGAAAAAATTGTAATTTTTTGGGTTAACTAACAATTAAAGTTAACAATAGAAAAAGATTGCCACAATTTTAAATATTTAGAAGTGAAAATAAATTAAAAATAAATTTAGGATCCTAAATACTTCTAGACCTCTAGTTTAAGCATAAATTTATTATCTTTTCCGTAATATGTTAATGAATGTTTAACTGGTGATGTCGATGCCCTGCCTTATCCACTTATTATAGTGATTACTAATTTACTATTATCATATTATGCCATTTGCTGATGGTTGGAGACTTTATAATTATAATAAGGAAAATGACAAGTTAAAACTTTGTAATAATATTAATGTTAAATTAAAAATTTTAATATTAAAATATAATAGAAAGAGTATTAAAATTTGAAAACGTCAGGCTAAAAAATTTTAATTTGACATTAAATATTTTTACAAGGTTTTTATTTATTATTTTCTCTTTATTAAATAATGTGCATTTAAGACAAAAAAAAGTATTCATAAAATTAATTCTTAAATAGTTTTTTTTATATTTATACATTGCATTTATGAGATGAAAACCCCTGTATTATCATGTTTTTCTTTTTTATATATTCAATTTGTTTTTTATGCGTGAATGACAGTGACATAAAGTCCGATTCCCTGTGTTTGCCAAAATAAAGGTAAATTATTCATTTGAAGCGAAATAAAAAAGTAACAATATAAAAAATAAAATATCAAAACTATAGAAAAGCTCCTGCGTAAAAAAAAAAAAATCTAATTTGCAAAATTTCCAAATTCACTGTTTCATCACTTGATTTGAGCATAAGATCTTCTCACACTATCCCTTGATTAGCAACACATTAATGATTAACATAGGTACAATTTTTTTTTATTTATTCTTATTCTTAATTTAATAATAGTCTATATATTATAATTGTATTTTACTTTATTTAATAGAAAATTTCTAAGGTATTGCCAACGATGGTGCACAATTGTTGCCTCCAAAATGGGCTTTCTTATTTTCATTATTTTAGCAAAACTATTGTGACGTGGGGACAAAATCTGAAAGAGTCCAACAATCTACTGATCTATTTTCCAGCGAGTTATTGTTTTATTTTTTTAAAATTTATTTTGATCAAATATTATAATATAAATATAATATATAAAAAACACAGCCACTTTACATTTTTAAAATAACAAATAAAAATTAAAACTTGTACCTAACTTGAAAGAAATATCCATGGGGAAGCAGACAAAGTGGAAGAGAATGCGTAAAGACCAAACGATAAAATTTAAATAATTTTTTTAAAAAATATAACTTTGGTCCTTATTTTTTTAATCATCAATTCAATTTCTGAATAACAAGTCAGTTCTTGTAATTTTTTTAATTCAAAATGATTTAATTTTTATAATTTTTTATTCAATAATTAATAAAAATTGAATTGTAATAAATTAAAATTTAGAGATATAATTGATAATTAAAAAGTTTAAGAATTAAAAGTTAAATTCTTCTTCTTCTTTTTTTTTTGAGAAATTTCATAAAATACTGTTTATTGCCAATTCTGTCCTTTTCTTTCTCCTTTGTTTCGTTTTTTGTTTTTTTTTTTCATGTAAAAAACAAATTAAGAGCACTATAAGTTGATGTAGCTTAGTCAATTCTCTACAGCTCTCGACTCGGTTGTTTAATGTTGAAGAAGGAGACTCTCTGCATCAAAACAAGATCAAATGGAAGGGAAGAAGCGCCAATAGGTCATCGAGTAAAACGATTGCCCCGTGCAGAGAAAGAGACTTTCTTCTTCGTTTTAAATATTTTCTATTCCTTTCTTTCATCCTGGCGGAATTTCCTGCTCGTCCAAGGCAAGTGATTTTTTCTCCTAATTTTTCTCAATTTTCTGCTGTTTGTTTAATTCTATATTGTTTTTCTTTCCATTGGGTATTTGATTTGATTTTTCATCTGGGGATTTCTTAGGGCCTGATGAATTCTCTTTTCTTCTTTGCTCTTTCACTTCTTAGATTGACGAAGAAATGGAGAATTCTGGTTTTGCCTATCAATTTTTCTTATCTTCGCATGATTTTTCAAAGCTGCATGTAGAAATAGAATTCAATGGAGTAATATGAGCTGAAATTAAGAGTTAGGAGAGGTTCCACCTGTGAATTTAGTTATCTATTAAGGATAATTCAAGGTTATTGCCTGGCTTCTAAAGATTGGGGTTTCTCGTGGTAATAACAATCTCCCATTCGTATGTTAAAACAGGATTGTCTGAAATATATTGCAATTTTGAGTTGGTCTGAAGGTTAAGGGAATTCCCCAGTTCCTCAGAACATATGAATAGAGGACTCTTGAAATTTTGGGTGTTTTCTATAGGTTGGATTTTCAAAATGGAAACCCTATCAGTGGATATTTTAGATATTTCAGGATCATTGATACTGCAAAAGAACGTTTTTCCACATGTATAATTGTTGTACAGAGTTTTTTAATTAAACAAATTGAGAACTTCACGGGTTTTAAAGTCTTGCGAGGGTCAAACTTTGATTTGATCCCGTATTGATATTGGCTTTTGAGTAGAGCATTCTGGTTTTGCAAATGACGATTTGTGGTTTAACTAAGATTCAATCTGATTTGCATAGCAGGGATTTTGAGTATTTTTTGAACAGCTGAAGGCTTAATCCTGCAACCTATCTTCAGAATCCATGGAGAAAGGTAATCAAACTTTAATTTATTACATTTATAAGTCAAGTTGTTCTTCTGAAAGGCAGCTTTATGCAACTTCACTGTAAACTATGCAACTTGATACACTTATCAGGTAATTATCTTTGGTGTTACAGATGCTAAGGTAGAGGAGACTATTGATTATAGAAAAGGTGTTGAATTGGCAAAATCGGTCTCTGAAAAACATCTTGATCTTTTGAGGCCATCTGCTCGATATTATTCAATATTTAAAGGTAAAAATCCCCCTCTTGTTGATTAATTGTGCAACATATCTGAAATCCAAAATGCACTTCTAAAAGTTTGCTGTCTGTTTTCAAATATTCATATGTTGTTGTCTGGCATGATTTGCAAATTATGAGTATGAAGTCTTTATATTCCAATTAGATTTGATGGGAAGCTTGGATTAGTATCGATGGTTCCAAAAGATTTAATTCATCCTCAGTTTTTTTTCTCTTTGGGTGGGGGCATCACACCATAGCGGGGTTTATCTTGTCCTCTAGAATCTACTTTAGGACATGTAATTCTCCAAAACTATGACATATTGGTAGTTATTTTCACGATATTGCTGCTTGCTCCATTTTCCTATGCAGCCCTTAATCCCTTAGTCCCTTACACTATGTAGCCCTGGGCTGATTTTTTATCTTTAGTTTAATGAACAAGGAAATTTCCCTTGTTAACAGATGCTAAAAGAACCAATGGCATATCTTCACGTGATTGCTTATTTTTTTAGTTGAATTAATTTTTGACATGGTATTAGGGCCTCCATCAGGTGGCCATGATATGATCCCTGCCTTCCATGTTTTTCATGTTCATTTAACACAAGGGTTGGGAAACTTGAACCTTTCATTTGAAGGTGCTTGTTAAAGAAATGAATAAAACCATTGGCCTTCACTCAACTATTTTCAGGATGAACTGGTCCTTGACACCATTCATATTTTGAAGTTCTTAGGCTTGGGTTAAACGTTTGAAGTTAAATGATGTTCAGGCTCCTGTAACAGCAATGCTAACCCTGTGTAGCAAATGTGTCCCTCTATATTCAACATTTTATTGTTTTGAGAACTTTTCTTCAAGAACACTGATTGGTTTTATGGCCAACTGCAGACCGGGAAAAGGGAAAGTATGCCCTACTGAAAGATACAGAGGATTATCAACAAGGAATTTATGACAGGCCTCTTCCATTTTATGGATGCGGAGTTGGATGGTTTTCGTAAGTAACTTTCACCAATGCTCTTGACCAATTTCTTTTTTCATGACTCATGGTTTTATTAGTTGAGTTGCAGATTTCTCGTGGGATTTCTGTGCCCATTAATGTGGTACTATGGGACAATTCTCTATTTTCAAAAACACTATCGGAAGGATCCAAGGGAACGGGCAGGGCTTGGAGCTTCTGCAATAGCTGTACACTCTCTCCCCTCCTTTCTCTGTATCTGTGTGCTCATATAATGCCTTAGGATAAGATCAATTATAGTAGTGAAGTAGTAATTTGAATACAATAAAATCAAAGCTTTTGAGGTGGAAGAAAATGCAACATAAAGAGTTGGACTGTGAGTATTTAAGGGGATCATTTCTTCTTTTTCCATCAGCCCACTCTTTTCTCTCTTGATCTTTCTCTTTCTTTAGAAACACTTGACAAGCTTGAAAGTTGAATAAACCAAATCCATTAAAACAGAGTTGTGTACTTGTGACCTCAGAGAAATGTACAGCTGTGTCATAATTAGCTCAGCCTGGCTTAGATCAGGCTGGAAGGATCTTGGTAAAACTTTCTTTACTAAATAAACTTTCATCAATCGGGAGAATAAAATCCAAAAAAAGAAAGAAAAGTGGAATCAGAGTAGAAATTCCATTTTGATGGGATTTTAATAGTTCTTTCCTTAATTTGCATGGATATGTTGAATGATATAGATCATCTTTTTACTTGGTTAATATTTTTGTGAAAATCATGAATGATATATTATGCATCTATTGTGGTAGGTGCATCAATATGCATATCAATATATGAAACTAGATGAGTTTTCCATGTATTATATGAAACTTGGAGAATAAGCTGTATTGTTTACAGCTCATAAAATATTTATGTTATATTTATGTTTTATTTTTGAATATTGTTATCACCTTGTTATTTAATAAAATCATAACACTAGAACATGAACAACTATGCTTTACTAAAACTGACATTTTGATAATTTTTCAGGCACTTTTATGCACAGTAGGATTGATGATTACGGCAGCCATTTTTGCATTGAAATTTGGGTTACGGCCTTGATAAGTCAAGTACAGCACAAATGCATATTGGTGAAGATTTGAGAAGCAATTCTTACAACTGATTTGCAGCAAAGACTGGGCTTGTATATAGCAATTTGCAAATTATAGGATCAAAATGGCTTGCATATTATACTTGGAGTGAAACACAAGATTGTCATCATAAAGGTCTACTAAAATCTTTATTTGTTATTATTTTTTCTAAAACTTTGACATCTATCTATATATAAAAGTAGGGTTTTGAGCTGCTCTCCTGTTGTTCCACCTCTTTGGCCCGCATGGCAACTCAAGAAGTGGCTCTTCCTCATGCCCTTCAATGAATTATTGAATTTTATTATATGCGATCTTGAATTTAATATTTGTTTTTGTGATCTTCATTTTTTTTCCATCATATTCTATTTTTCCCCTCTCCCATGATTTGTGTTTTGTAAGAATGTTTACATTTTGATTTTCATTTGGGTACACTTTTTTTTTCTTTCTTCAATTTTCATGGTCTTAATTTTTCTGTTACATTCCAATTCTTTCCTATGCCGTGATTTTCGATACTCCAATCCATTGTTTCAAAATTAATAGTGGATCTTAATTCTCCATGTTATAAGAGATTAGACCATTTCATTAGGCTCAACCTTATTGGTTAAAATGTGAGTAATTTGGTCTCTCTCTCTCTCTCTATATATCTATCTATATATATATATATATATAAGTTGCTTCCATTGACTTACCAAAATCAAAATTAGTTAAATTAATAAAGTAATAATTACTTTCCATTTTTGCCACAACAAACCCTTTCATTACTTTAATATTACATATTTAGTGTGGAAGGTGATGAGAAAGATAGTTTCAAAAAACTAGCCGTTTAACATTTTTTAGAAATATTTTTTTGATTTTATTTATAAGATAAAGAAGAGATTATTTGTTTTGATCTTATTAACAAAGCATCTCAGTTATTATTATATTCATCTTTATTATTTTATCCTTATTAAATGTTAAAAAGTTTATTAAATGATAGAATATGTTATTTTAAAGTAGATTTACTTTATAGGGATAAAGTTAACTTGTTAAATTTTGAAACGGAGTTAATTAAATTTAAAGGTTTTTAAAGTTTTGATGAAAATATTAAAAATAAGTTATAAATAAGATTTAATGAAAGTAATTTTTCATATAAAATGCAGGATATTTTTATAATATTTTAACTACTTTTTTCAATTCTAACCTTTCTTAATTGTTTAAAATTAAGGATAACATTGAAAACATATTTCATTTTTTTATAATATTAAAGAAAAAAACTATACTTTTCTAAGATGCATAAGACAATTAAAAGTGTTTCACAGTAAAAACTAAAAAAAGTAACTCATTAAATGTTACATGGGTGAAAAATGACTTACGTTAAGAATTTAATAACGATTGAACGTCAGAATTTAAGTATATGCCCGCTATGATAATTCATTTTTTAGTATTTTAGTTCTTTAATTACTTAATATCATTTTAAACAAACATTTTTCACTGAAATTAAAAATATTAGTTAACAATACTTCACCTTCCGATATTCTTCAAGATACAAAATGTTTATAATAATATTAATAACAATTCTTCGAACCTCAAATCAAGAACTCCATCCACTCCTTCCATGCCTGCCAATAAACTTGTTTTAAGCATGATAGACAATTAGAGGAGTTTCCTATCACTGATTCAGAATCATTTTATACAACAATTGAATGCATCTGCATAGTAATAGTATATAATTTGCTTCTACAAAACTTTTTATAGAAAAAAATGGGAGGGGTTGAAAAAAAAAAAAAAACCTGCTCCTTCAGTCCCTCTGCAAGTTCAAACACCAAAATTTTCAATTCTAAACTATATTAATTAATGTCTAAACAATAGCAAAACATCATCACCGAACAAAAGCCAGGGAGTCTTGCTTGCAAAGGTAACAAATAAGCTTAATCATCCCGGGGCACCAAACGCACATACTTTTTCTCAACTGCAAATCTGGAACTTGAATTGATCTGTCACCATACGAAATTACATAAGAAACCCACGTGACTCATAAAAGATAAATAAACAGAAACACAATCGAGTTTGGCCAACCTTCCGCTCGAGTGCCTCACTAAGTTCAGTTTCATCCACTTCAACGCCAGATTCCTGCAAGGCTTTCAAGACATGTTTTCTCAACTTCTTCATCTTCAATTTTGCATCAGGTTGCTGCTTCCCAGGAAAAGGTAAGCACATGTAAGTGCAAAAACAGCCATACAAAACAAAGAAACTCATCAAGCCATTAACCTAAGGGCAGGAGGTCCACATATTACAATCTTAAGGTCACCAGGAGGATAAGAACAGTGCATCTTCCAAAACAAAACACAAAACAAGCACACGTATCACTCCAAATTCACAGATACTTACAGATCTTAATGCTGATATGATAAACTTTTTCCACTTTATATTCTTTTTGTCGTTAACCATCCTCTCTTTTTGTAAAAGATCCTGTTTTTCCCCAGCTGCACCTTCAGCCTGAACTACTTCCCCATTTCCCAGCTCACCCGAACTGTCATCCCTGCCCTTTTTCCTGATATGGTTATCCTCCACCACATCAGATATCCTCTTTTTATTTGATGGAGAGCTTTCATTCCCTGATTTCAAGTTATTGTGTTTAGATGGGTCTTGGAATTTTGTCTGCTCTACATTATTATTAACTTGGACCTTGTCATTAGAAGCATGCTCCACTGGAAGCTTTGCATCTGAAGCAGATGTGTCCGTCTGAAGTGGCTGTTGCTTTGCAGAATGGAAAGCTCGAGCCTTTGCCCTGTGTTTCTTTCCATCGGCATGAAGAAGAAGTGTTTGCTTACTTGTAGCTTTTGTGTTGCAGAGGCTAAAAGGCAACAAATAAATAGAAGAGAATGAATTTGGTGGCAGTGCAGCCAGTAACAAAACTCTTAGTTAAGAACTTAAGATTTTGGGAAACAAAGTCAAGCAAAATTCAATTCCAGCTTATTAACATGACATATCCATGACAGTATTTCAGATAATCAGTTGTTTCTTAAAGTTGAATTAATAACTGCGAGGATTCTAAACTGAGACTTTAATGAAGAGGTAAGAGGGTAAACAATACTGCAACAAGTCAATGAAGCCAATTATACTAAGAATATTTCACAATTTTACTAGCAATCAATTCACAAAACCTAGTTCCAACATATATACTTGATATCAAATCAAACGTACATCCCTTGGGTCACAACTCACAAGGGATTGCAGACTAATATTTAGTTAAGATGGTCCCATTTCGGCAGCCGAAAGTCGACTATTAAAAAGAGCTATACCTTGTGCGAAACATTTGTTCGCAAGATAGGCACAAATATATGATTTTACAAAGAATTTTTGTGAAATACTTCCTAAAGTAACAAAAAGCACATCATTTGGTGCTTTGAACTTACTAGCTCCGTTTTCTGCCCAGTTTTACATTTTCCGCTTACATCACAGAAGCATTTGAACTAAAACCTTGATGATCCCATAACCCAAAAGTGTAATAAATTCTCTAAGTAGCAAGCCAATTCATGCTGAGAATAGGAACTAGGAAGCCTGAATCCCATCCCAAAGAAATATAAAGACTGGGAAAATCAGTAAAATGGGCATCTCGGTAGACATTAAATATTCAATAAATATATACTGACTGAATAGCATGATGTTAAATAGTGCAACCAATAGAGCATACCTACAAAACCACGGAGGCCTTTCTGATAACCCAACATGAATATCAACTTCAGGCTTTTGCTTGTTACCGTTAGGTTTGGCAGCTGTAACATTCGGAGTTTTGCTTTGGCCTTTTGGACCATACTTTTCCTGGATTGAAGGTTGAGTGAAAACATCTTTATAAGCTAACAAAGGCAAGGATAGGTAAACCAGAAACACAACTTAATCAATTTACTATAAGATTGTAGCAAAACTGTAAAAAAGCCAAGGACCATCAAAAGTAAGAAAGGGGGAAACAAAAGCTTTACCAAGCCTCAGTCCATAAACAGGCAAAAGTAAAGGAAACCCAGAAAGAATAAAATGAAGCCATAATGCAGTGAAATTTGAACAAAACTACAAATGCCGATAAGTAGAACAGAGTGAGTGATCATTGAGCACATAGAGATAACCAAAAAAAAAAAAGGTTAAACTTCAAAACCATCTTTCGTTCACATTCATCGCCATAGAACAAAAATTCACTTCGAAAAAGTAGTAGATGAAAGACTCATGATTATCCGACTTGATCCAATAAGAAGCTTATAAGATTGAGGGGCGTACCGCTTCTGTAATACATTGTGTATGTTGCTGAACCGAGTCTTGCCCAAATATTTGTCCACAATCAATGCAAGACAACTGCAACATACAATCAGGGAAAAGCAAAAACAATAATCAATCAAAACACCATCGGTGTACCAAAATAACTAACGTGGCTTCTCATTTCATTTCCCAACGTCATGCTGTCTCCATGAAATTAATTTAAACAAGAAACAAAACAGTGCCTCAATCAATAACAATAATATAAGTAGGATCGAACAAGAACCTTTGAAGCGGAACAAGTTCTGAAATGATTCGGTAATTTAGGTTTCTTCAGATTGTCACCACAATCCTCGCATTGAAACCAAACCATCCCTGACTTGTTTGTTGCCAGCTGCCGCAGCAACCCCGGTTCAGCTAATTCTGGATTTAAGGAAGCTAGGGTTTTCGGAAGGGTCCTGATCTCTTGTTTGAGCTACTTTCACTTCAACTCAAACGCCGCGTTTTGGGTCTTGTACGATTGCTTTCTGTTGCATAGTATTTTCTTCTTCGTTCACTCATGCAACTCACTTTTCATTTTTCATTTTTCAAGATGAAGCATATTAAAAAATATAAATAATATTTTAAAATAAAATTATTATCTTTATTAAATTATTTTTAATAAAAAATTATTTTATATTTATTTTAAAATAAAATACAAATATGAATAAATATAAAAAATAATATTAAATTAAAAATAAGTAATTACTTTATTAAATAATATTTGATTAAAATTATTTTATATTTTTTAATGGAAAGAGTATATATTATATATAATTTAAAAAAATGCATGTACTATTCTCCTTCATTTAATATTATAAGATACTTTTAAATATATTAATAAATTAATTAATAGTCTTTAAAAATTAAATGATTTTTTACATTTACTTTTATTTAAAATAATGTCTCAATTAAAATAAATCTTATTAATTATACCCGTTGTTTTTGGATAAATGTTTTTATTTGCATTTTTAAAGACTAAAATTATCTTATATTTTTTTAAAATTTTATCTTAAAAAAATGCCTTGTCAAAGTGTTTTTGTTTATTGAAAAATCACAACAAAGGATCACTCAACAACATTTATTATTCTGCATGATCAAATAATTCTTATTTTTCTTTGCAAGATTGAGAGACCCAAATGTGATTAAAATTGAATGTGAACTTATTTATTAGATTATAACACTTTCTCTCTACCACCAAGTTAATATCTTGAAGTTGATAATGAAAAAATTAATTGTTACTAAAATAGAAATGTAACTTTTTTTTTACTAAATGAGGACTTATTCACTAAATCATTGCACTTATTCCTTTCCACCTTCAAGTTAATTTTTTAGAGTTATTGATAAGAAAATTAATTGTTATTAAAATAAAAATGAGACTTTTTTTTAACAGAGACTTGTTAAAAAGGTCTGAGAGGTAGTTTTATTTTTTTATAGTAAATTTTAATTACATTTAAGTTTTTTTGTCCTACAAAATAATATCAAAAATGCTTGATCTTGCGCAATAATAAATATTGTTAAATGATCTAATTGTGATTTTTTTTCCTTCAAACAGGGAGAATTTCAACAAGAATGTAATATTAAGAACTGAAAGAGTATATACTTATTTGATGAAGACAATCACGAAGATAGTATGGTTATTTGATAGAAAAAATTACAAATTTACAGCATCGTTATGAGTCGGGAAAATCCGCTTTTCATGCCAAGGTCAAAACTTGCACCAATATTTTTTTTTTCCCTTTGTAACCATAGATATATTACATAGCAATTTACAATTATAATTATTTATCCAGAATATTTTGCAAAAAAATTATCCAATATAATAACGATCAAATAAGTTTAAAATTAATATAAAAATAGATAGATGTTTTAACTTGAAATAAATTAAATTTAAAATTTTGAACACGGAGTAAATACGGTTCTTTTTGCCACGATATTATACACAGTAAAAGAAAATATCAAAATGCTATACTGTGGGAATTATTTTCCAAAATACTGCATGTAAAATCATTCAGTGAAAGAACAATTTTTAAAATTAATCAAACCAAGAACGATGTCTTTAATGCATAATTTCATGCGCATCAAAACTCTTGGCAGGAACGATTTTTCAACTTCATCTACCTTTGTCATGTCATGTGATTTGTGTAATAATTTAGTAATCATTTAAATAAAAATGATGAGTAAATAATTATTACTAATATGATTAAAGAATTATTATAAGGTGTATTAAATTAAAAATTATTAACACTAATAAATAATTATTAGATTTTACGAAAATTAATAATTAATAATGAATGATTAGGTTATGTGAATGAAAAGCGAAGAATAATTTACTTCGCAAATAATGACTTTCGATGCCACTTTTTTTTTTACTTCTTATATGTCATAGCCATTGTTGTTGTTGCTGTATGTTTCTCTCTCCTTGAAATTCAAGTGTTTCATTTATCTGTGTAATTGGCGTATTTAAATCAAAGTAAAGTAATTCAACTAAAAAAATTGACTATCAAGGGGTGGCATATGCTTTATTTGATGGTCCACCATATTCAAAAGTAGGAGTGTTCTATTCAACAAAAAATGGTGTAGGATCATCAAGTAAAGACATGAATGATTCACATTAAATAAGAATCAGTGAGTTGAAAAGGGATGATGATAAGGGTGGCATATAATGAGACTCAAGTTGAGTGGGATTGGGAAAGGTGAAAAGGGATGATGATAATGATAAGGCTAGTATGTAATGAGATTGACTAAATTTTTGAAGTTCTTGTTCCCTTACATTTTCATTTTCAATTAGTGGTTAGGTAGACAAGTAGCAACTATGTTGCTTGCTTGGTTTCTATCTCAAGAAATTTATGGACGAAGCAACTTAACTCCTAGTGAAGCAAACTGAGAGTCCTTGTTAAATCGTTCTCTTATTGCAAGTAAGATGTTGCGTTAGTCTTGAGCAACCCTATCTCAATAATCAATGCAATAAGAGTAGTATAAATGAGAATTAATTGTTAGCCTATATAATTTCCATGCTATGTTAGCCTAAAATAAACAATAAGACATTATATTATAACTCTTTGTTTTTTTTTTTAAGAAAAAGGATGGTATAAGTGGAAGGCGGTGAAAAACTTACCGCATGCCTCATATCACTGCTAATACGTTTGATCCATCGTCAGGTATGTCTTCAATATCATTGCATGTACTCATATGTTATATCAAACTCATTGAGTATTGGAAGAGCATTAACAAAAATAAGTAACCATCTATCCCATGCTTGAATGAATATAGAATTTTTTCGAATCCAATTTGTTGTTTTTCTACCTTGTAATTGAATTATGTGGTAATTTCCCAATGAACAAGCGTGGAATGAATTGGTTGCTAACAACCAAATTGTCTTAGTATATGATCAGGATGATGCCATTCTATAATATGAAAACAACTTAGGGGAACTAAGGCAAGCCAGATTTCGGGTGTTGCCAAACAATAATTTAGAATCAATTGGCATACTTCAAGAGATTCATATGCCAAATTATCTCGTTATCAACCATTTTATTAAGGAAATTCCTACAAAGGCATAGTAATTGGATGAGGCTATTGCCCTACATTTTTTCATTTATTATTACAAAAATAAATGTTAAAATTTGCATATGTTAAAAGAAGAATATTTGTCAGGTGAATTTAACATACACGAAACCTAAAGGAGGTAAAAGAGGATAGATATCAGAATATGGATCTGAAGACACAGGAATTTGTGCGTGTGTTTGGATAAGGGAACAAATCAATTTTTCCCCCAATTTACCCAAATAGTCAAAACAGAATAAAAATTGATTCTGAAGCAGGACGCGTGTTTTCCCGTAAGCTACTTCCATCCGCTTTTTGTCAAAAGTTTGTCAAAAATGTTGGAAAAAATTACAAAGATAGGCCTAAGAAAAAATTACAAAAAATAACATAATTTAATAAAAATAAAATTAAACTCTCTTCTTTTTTTTCTTAATAAAATTTAAACTTTGTATCTTCAAAAAATTAATATTTGGTATTTAAAAATTAAATTATATGGTAATTTATATAGCTAAAAATTAATTTTAATTAAATTATCCAAATATTTTTAACTCTGTTAAAATCAATTTCAAAAAAATAGTATCCAAACAGATTGCGTTATAATATAATTAATTATGATTAAAATCTATCATTTAATCAATTATTTTCATAATCTATTATACCCAAGTGAAATACAAACAGGCACTGTGGTGGTAGCATGGGGAAGCGATCCCATGCCCACAAATGTAGTAACAATAAACACCCTCTAATGCTATCCTAAACTGTGTCAGTGGTATTACATAATCCCCTATATAAGTGAGCCAAAATCGTTGATCCCCAACTAAATTTTCTAGCTTCTTCAAGATTACCAAGAAGTGGAAGGTACATTAAACGCATCGATTACCCGATGTTTCTGGATGAGATATCCTCCAATCAATGTAAGGATGTATGTGTGGGTGAATTATTGAACTTGTGCATCATCTGCACTATTGTGTAGGTGATTAAAGTTCTCTTTTAGCCAGCTTATAGTAAGACGTTGCCCGTGCATTATATCTTCATGTAGTCTAATATCGAGATGCTCTTCACAAACATCTAACCAACTATTATTAGTTTGCTTAATGACAGGTAAAATTATCACCCCATTTGCAAATATACACATGAACTCTTTTCTATGATCCATTCTACTTCTTAAATATTACATTATACAATTAACACGCTAGTAAAATTAAATTGTAAAAATAAATTATTAACTAATTTCTTAAATATTTATAAATTAATTGTCTAACTTTTATATTTAAGACCGAATAAAGTATTACTTACATGTAATAATTTTTTTTATGTGTATTTGATTTTTTTATTAATAAATTAACTATAATTATTCTCAATGGCGAAACCACATTGTTTTTAAGGGAGGTCAGGTTTCGACACTCAATGCTATTAGAACCCTTTAGATTTTCTTTGACTTGTGATTTTTAATACAATTCACAACCCTAAACGACTTCTGCCTTCTATATAGATGTGTGCATGTGTCCCCTCTTTCTAGACCAAAAATGTATAAAGATCTGCCACATTTGTATCATACACATTCTTTAACAATTCTTATAAAAAATTTGATAACTTATACAAATTAAGTTCTTTAATATGTCAAATTTATAATTTTGTTATATTATTTATTTGATAAGTCTTTCTTGTACTATGTATATTTGTTATAATTAATATTATGGAAATATAATTTCACTTTAAAATTTTTTATATATTATTTATTTGACAAGTTTTTCCTATGTCATTTATATTTGTTATGATTAATGTTATAGATATATAAATTTACTTTTTAAATTTTTGTATATTATTTATTCAATAAGTTTTTCCTATATTATTTATATTCGTTATGACTAATATTA